TACAATAAAATATCCAAAACACAAAGTACTTATGTATAAAGTATCCAAAACACAAAGTACCTATGCACAAGAAAGTCAAGTACGTCAACATTCAATGCAAACTATTTATCAAAGGTAGAGAAAAACAAAGACCATGACCATCAATATAGATTATGTTGACCTACACCTCCTCAATGGTGACCGTTGTGGTCAACATATATTGCATCTACAAGTTGTTTCCTAAGCAACAACATCTCTTGTTATTGATCCACACTACCAACATCAATCTCATCAATATCTTCTTCATTTGTCTTAGACAAATGTTGAATTTTAAACTTTTCATTATTCTCAAACTCATGAAACAGGATGTCTGTGTCCTAACTTTTCCTAATAAAGTTGTGTATCTCAATGAGGCATGGGCATTGTTAAAGTACTATTCTTTTGTTGTAAGTCGTCCTCCCCTCTGAAAATCAAGCAAATGGTATCGTGTATTATGGAACGGTTCCATATAGCCAGTCATGTTGGGGTATGTAGAATCAACTACATAATACTAACCTAATAATGTGTATGCAACAAGAATATTATTTTGGGAGAATGATCGTTCAGCCTAAGGTCAAAATTCATAGGCCTAAAGTACAGTTGGGGTAAGTGCCAGTTCGGAATTGATGACAATTCACGGGCGGATATGGATGCATAGGGTGTGGGTTTTTGAAGTTTTGAATGTTTATAGAGTTGCAACCGAATTTAGAATTATGCATTAGGCCTGTCCATACTTTTCCGTATTATTTTTTACACAAATTTAGATAATACATGAAAAAATTGCAATGTATGCATGCATACCCTATGGTGGATGTGAGAAATTATATTTGGATTACGTACGACTTTTACAAATATGCGGTAGTCATGTGCAGTCCCCTCCCATCTAGTAAGGACAAACGTAAACCGCATGTTGAAATCACACACGACCATTACATTTTGTGTGCAAGGCCATTTTCTATGTTGGTATGGTGTCTACTTGTCCATAGAGAGCCATGCAGATATGTGTGTCCTACCAACAGCCCCTATGCAATTATACCCCCCCCCCCCAAAAAAAAAAAAAAAAAAAAAAAACTAGCAGCTTTCAGTGTCTATTTCTGGTGTAGCTTTAAAATGGGCTCATAGTGTGCAATTGTTACTTTGAAATATGGTAAGTATTTTGGATTATAAAGGATGTGTGGATGAGCAATGTTCAATTTGAGGGGACATATTATTGACAATGATAGTTTTACTACCGTCATCAACATGTCATTGAAAAAACGACTAATTGTCTCACCGGAATGTTGGAACTGTTATTGCATCATCTGGTTCCTCTCATTATGTCTAACAACATGAAGGAAAATAGCTAGTTATTCCTTCACCGAAACATCCCAATTGTTTGCAATGAGGCCACACTCTTTCAATGTATTGCACAGCCATATAAACATGTATTTGTCCATATGGCAAAGTTCATACAGTCGGTCATTGTGCCCCTCGAGGAGAGATTGTGTGTACACAACTCCAATGCAGTCCATAGTGTGTTTGGGTTCTTTGTGAACCCACATATCATAGTAAAACTCACTCACCACAGAGGCAACCTCCATAATGCACTTCATCTCCTCATTGGTGTCCATCACCCTATTGAAAGGCAAGTTACTATGGAACTTGACTCGATATCTAATACTACCTCAGTCTCCGTTTTGGTTTCCTTATCAATAGCCATATCTTGCACTATCATGCAATTTAATAAACACAAACAAAACTTATATTCATAAAATGGAAGACATAAATGCAAAAAAAAATAAAAATAAAAACCACACACTTAATTAATATTAAAATGTAAATCAAATCCACCAATAATAATCCTAACACAGTGCACTCAAAATAAAGAGTACATAAGTTTTGAAGTCTATACGGCAAAAAACAAAACATTGATTGGTGCAAACAGGTTTCACACTCTATTGGGACACTTGTATAACTCTTTAATCATCTTCAATCGCAAGGCATGAGACCCAATCGCAATAAATAAGTCATGAAATTCACCCTTCATGAATTGGAGACTAGCAAACATGAATATAGGAATCCCCTTTTCAATCTCAGGGATCTCCTTCAAGAGGTTCATGCAACGTTCCATAGAGCTTAACCTTGTGTCCTTGCCAATTCTATGAGCAGTTGTTTGCTCAAATGCAGAAGCAATTCTTTCCAAATTCTTGTTAATCCATATAACACCCATTTTCTTCTTTCTCCTAGTAGAGTTGTTACTCTCCCCCTATGTCTTTGGGGATAACCCTATGTGAATGAGAGCTACTCAGGACCGTTCTAGCCTCCTGCATTGTTTCAGATGCATCAATGGGTGTCTCTAGCTCATGGTATAATTCCTTATCCATCTGGTGATCATCCAGAGTCGGTTGGGTTAACACTACCACCTCTRGTAGTGCACTCTCATTTGGTGCCCAACTATCATAACCGTGAGCAACTATGCCACCAAATATGATGACCAAATTTGTTTCATGGGAAGACGCTTGTGTCTAAACTGTGCCGCATCAGGGTATGTCTATCACACAAGGACAACCAAGAAAATAGCTTCAAATCGAAGAAAAACTTCACAAAACATAGAAAAGGGCAAAATGACAGGTCTGTCGGCCATTTTTCCTCATCGTCAATCATTGCTAGTGGACTTGCAAATGAAGGCGCTATTCCCTGGTTTGTTGTGTTCGAATGGGAGGAGAGGGAAGAAAACCCTCTCATGGGGGTATTTTGGGTATTAAAAAATTAATAGGGACGGGTTCGTCCCATTCGATCGGAAGAATCACTTCTCCGAGAAGTGCTGAAAAAAAACAACTTTAAGGTCACTTTTTTAAGAAGTGTTTCTTTTTTTTTAAAGTACTTTTAAATAAAAAAATACTTCTTCCTYACTTTTTTACCAAATACATATAAGCACTTAATAACCACTTAATGTGTGGTCCTATCTCTTAAAATAAGTACTTTTTAGAAGTAAAATCAAATAGGGTCTAAACCACCTCACTGGAAAAAGTACCAAAATTCTTAATTGTGAGAAACAAGGGAGTGTGGCCTTATCATCCATTGTGAATAGGACAGTTTCTTAGTAGGAATGAAAGTTATTTGCTCCCCTATGTTGAGATGTTAGCAATGTTTTATCCCACGGTTGATTCCAATGGTTGAACCATTTGAGCAGTTATGTTTTATGCTTGACTCAGAATAAAAAAAAAAAAAAAAAAAAAAAAAAAAAAAAAAAAAAAAACTATTGATTTGGTCAATAAACCATTGGTTCAGATGGTTGAACCACTAAACCGTTCAACCTAATGAACAATTTTCATTTCATTCCATTATTTTAATTATTTTTCAAAACATTACAGGTCAATCCATTCAARCTATTGACCTGAAAACCAGTGGCCAAAGCGGTTCCATTTTCGAATTAGCTTTTAAAACCTTGTTTGATCATATGGATGTGAGAAAACGGTTTATTAGGTTAAAAACAAAATCGAATAAACCAAAATTTTAAATGAAAAACCAAACTGAAACCGAAATATTGAAAAACCAAAATAACCAAAACTGAAATTTTTGGTTCGGTTTTCGGTTAAAACTGAATTTCAACACTATATATTTTAATATATATTAGAGATATTATATATGTATTATATATTAAAAATATATATATTATACAATGAATATAATAAATTTGGTTTTTTCAATTAACCAAAATTTTAAACCTAAAAACCAAAACCAAAATTTTACAAAACCGAAATAACCGAAAACTGAAATAATAAAAAAAAAAACAAAATTTTCAGTTCAATTTTTCAGTTTTAACCAAATAATGCTCACCCGTAATTGTTAACAATGCGATGGTGGTTGTCAGCTAGAAGCCAACCTGGGCTTGGTTTGTAGAATCTGGATTTTCTCCTCACACCAACCTCACAGCACATTCCAGATCCCATCGTATCTCCGATGAATATTAACATACAAATACGAGAGATGTTCCTGATGTGCGGCAGGGATGTATTGTGCGGGTGTGAGGAACAGATGCAGACTGTGGTCTGCAATAGGATGTTATGACTTATGACCAAGCGCCTAAGCCAGTTGCCATAAAAAACAGTAACCAAGTTGTTAGGAGTTATTAAAGCATCAACMAGGTTAGAAGACAATTTCATTGACTAAGAACTTTTTTCCCCCTTTCAGCCTTGGACCATATTTTCTCTGAAACCCAACAACAGCAGAGAGAACTGCTTAGGGCTTGTGGGCTTGTCTAAGAGGGTTGAGGTGAAGATTCAGCTAAATTTGACATTGCAGCCGTGAATACATTATCATTTATGGGGAGATGTTCTCAATGCATGACTGGAATGTGCCTGTGAGGTTGGTGAAGCAGAAAGCCCTTCAAATGACAGGCAGATATTTGAATCTCCGGAGTTTTCACCAAACATGGCTTATAGGCAATCCATGTGGGACCCACCTCAGAAAGCCAGAAGCCACTGCACTTCAGACCTCCCAAACAGGCACTTAATTAGACAAGGTTATTGGCATGGTTTAACAGGATTCATGGTATGGTATGAATATAAAGAACCAGTTAACAACTCTATAGTATAGTTGAGCAACTCTTGATGATTTGTTCTATTCTTCTGTTATCTTTCTTAGCTTCCTTGTGTTCAGACATTTTTTACAGAAACAAGGCTGTGTAGCACTGTATAATTTCCATTAAGGCTATGTTAGAAAACAAGAGAGAATAAGAGAAACAAAAAGTTGAGGGAAAGTTGTTCATGAATTTTCTAACAGTTTTAAACGATCCATTCCAAAATTGGGTATCATACTGTCATTCAGAATCAGATGTATGCAAGTCAATATTTTTTCCAGAAAGAGAAATTGTTGTACTCATTTTATTCACATTCTTTTTTGTTCATGGGGGCCAAACAAGGAAGGGTGGCCCATCCCCCATACCCTAAGTCCATAACCCCCGATTTCTGGTGGCAGGGGGGATTTGATCCCAAGTCTGTGATACAACAAGCCAGAGACCCTACCAACTGAGCCACCCTCAGTTGGTAATTTCATTTTATTCACTTATTGAACATTGTTGTACATCCACATTTCTCCCATATGTAATGTTTCTTCTGTACATTCATTTTTAAGAAAATCAAAGATTTGAGACCCTTATGTGGAGCCCATTTGGTGCTTCAACTCTTGGGAATTTCCGGATCTCTCCTCCATCTTGTTCCCATCTGCAACAGTGATATTTCAAGTGTAAAGCAGTTAGTTGTGAGCTATTAGTTGTTTAAGATATTATAGAAAAATCAATAGGGGGAAGCCATGTAGACTACCTGTATCTAGTCACGAAATAATGAAGAAACATGGAGATTTTTACAATACCCAATTCCTTCCCTGGGCATAGCCTGCCTCCTCCTCCAAACAGGAAAAAGTAATTGTGAGATTCCAAACTCTTATCCTGCATGGACGAGAAAGGYTAATTATGGTCACTTGATCATAAATATGATAAAATATCAAATCTAACTTTGAACAGGCTGTCTTAAGGCTGCAATACAGTAAAACAGTAATATAGGGGATCCATTATGACAAACTGAAGCCATGCTCATTTACAGTAAACCAGTGAGAACAATGAATTTGAGCTGTCCAACAGAAAATCTTATTCTTTTTGGAAACAGAAGAAAAAAAATCAAATAAAGGCTGTTGTCAAATGACTCAAGGACCATTGGAGAGATTCTTCTGACACTAATACTGCTCTTGTGACTGCAAAATCTTACAAAAGAATTAAAGCTCTTGGGCACTTACCATCCATCTCCATGGATTGAAGGTAAATGGGTCTGGGTATAGAAGTGGATCATAGTTGATCTCCCTTGTGTAAACATATATTCTCCAACCTTTTGGAATAACAAATCCTGTAAACCACAAAACAAATGTTAAAATTAACTATTGCCAATCAATTTCTATCAATGCTGATTGAGATATGATGTGATGGATGAACATGAAAATTGACCCTCCTAGTGGTCCTTAACCTCTAAATGACCCATAACTCATCAATGAGAACATTTAATTGGTCCATAACTTCTTAAAAAGATCACAGGAAAGCTGCAAGTACCAGAGGAGCTTAACCTTCTGACACAGGAGTAGAAATGGATGGGTGGAATGTACAAAGCCACTACTCAATATAATGGGTTTCAATGCCCAGTGGGTCTAAACTTTGGATATGAATATGCTTATTAAACACCCCAGCAAGATCCTATGTGCAAAGATGCATGATAATAAAGGCTATGGATATGATAAGGACGGCATTACACCATACATAAATACCCAACTGTAAAAAGGTTTTACTAGCAAAAAGGAAAAAGAAGAAACAGGCAAGTTGCTTTATAATGAACCATTGAATGCTTGCAAATCTTTAACTTAAAAGTTTGAAAGTCAAAATTCCCACCTAGCCATAAAGTTTATTAAAGCTAAAAGGGGGAACATGGAGAAAATTAAAATCAAATACCAACTCTTGATTTCATTCCACTAAATAGCAAATACCAGACCTTCATTTTATATTGCTATATTTAAGTAGTATAGTTTCCTAAACCCACCATTCAGTTCCATTTCTTGAGTAGTTTTCCTCAGCACCCCATTAACAATGGTAGCTAGCCTTGCAGTCTCGAAGATCACCTGCATTAAGAAAGCAGACTAAATTTCATTTCTTGGTTTTCCTTTTGAGTAACAAAACCAGGCGGATGATTAAATGGGGCTTACAGCACGAGTGAAACTCATAGATTTGTAATCATTCCAGTTGATTGGTTCCTCTGGTCCCTTGTTTTTTCTAATTGTAAAATGTTCTTCCTGAAAAAACATTTAAATCAGATTAAAATAAGGATTGGAAAATAGAAAATTACCACCAAAACCTGAAGGCAAGTAAGTTCTAACCCACCCTGAGTTTGTCAAGTGCTTTTGGATGATCATAAAGATACTTAACAGCCATCATTGAGGTAGTTGAAACAGTCTCGTAACCCGAAAACACGATTGTAATTAGTTGATCAATCATCTCTTCATCATTGAGTTTGTATCTTGGGTCTTCTTCCCTCAACATGCAATCAAGCATGTCCTGTTGGTTACTTGGACAAGCCCGTCTTCCTTCCATGATTGTTTTCAGGATGTTTACAATGTTCTTCCTTGCCTGTAGAACTCCAGTAAGTGGAAAGCTTCTTTAAAGCAAGAAAAACAAATTGTTAAGGGAGGGAGAAAAGTTTGAATATGCACCAGTAACCCATTACTGTAATTTGTTCCCGGGAGGCTGATGGGTAGAGAAAGGGTCCCTAGAACCAGTTTGTAGAATTCTGACTTGAAAGCTTCAACTATCAAATTAGATTCGTGTCCAACAATCTGCATGAGTGATACCAGCAGAGCCATCTGGACAACAGAAACAGAATATTGTAAGCTAGAGCAGGAAAAGAATAGTTAAAAGAGTTTCTTCTTTTCTGAACTTTTTTTCTATTTTTCCTAGAAGTGCATAAATTTTACCATATTCTAGTGATTCAGAACTCAAAAAGTAAATTTACAGAAAGGGCTAATAAAATTCCTTTGGCTTTTCTTCTTTCAGTTAACTGCAAGTCCTATCCGATGCATACACAGTCAAGAATATTGAAAAACAAAGATTGGACTACTTCTGTTTACTACTCTTAAAAAAAAAACAAATTTCTGTTCTTTTTGTCATAGACATTCAAAAGATGCAAGATTCAATTAGAAAAAGGAACCCAACTAAAAGTTGATAATGAGATTCTTCTTTAGTTACAATGTTTTGGGATTTGAGAATTCAACTAACCTCTTTCGTTTTCTTTTGTATATCAATAGTTTTTCCATCCCAGCTACTGAGGTGGGATCTCATAAACGCATCAATCTTTGGCTGAAGTCGGTCTCTGATCATGATGGGGCTGATGAGGCTCAGCATGGCCCCTCTAATAGTCTTGTGTGTTGGACCATGCACAGCAGATATGTTGCATTTTCCCAGGATATCTAACATGGACTGAGGGTAACCGGGAACATAGCCTTTCGCTTCATTCAAGAGAATATATCTGTTGACCTCTGGATCCATGGAAATTATAGTAGGGGAGCCCAATATGTGGGATTTGAAAAGACTTCCATACCTGTTTCATCAGAAAAGAAAAAGAGAACTTTCTCATGTTAATGAAAATTATTCATGGAGGCAAATGTAAGAATGTCAATTGAAATTAAATCAACAAGAAGACCCAAGACAAAAACTGTTTCATTATAAATAACAGCCAAAGCATACTAATAAAAAAGATAGCTAAAAGCAAGAAAACCCAAGACATAGACTGTTTCAAACTTGTAGACAAATATTGCAATCTTCAAGCTTACAATCTTTTACAACTATTCCTAATCAATAAAGAAACCACTTTGCTTGAAGAAATAGCTTGTTTCTCATCAAGGATTTGAAGCTGACTTATTCTAAATCCTAGGAGTAGGAGACCAGCTTTAGACTAGAGAGCAAAGAGACCAACTTATACCAGTAAACTCAAATTGCCTTTTTTGTAAGTCAATCGACTTGGAAAATAGAGCTAAAAAGAGATAAAGCAGGGAAGACCATTTTGTAGTAGTAAGCACCGATGGAGGCATGAACAACCACTACAGCCAAAAAAGAGATAAAGAAGCAACCGTTCTTAAAACAGGAAGAGCTCCAGACCTTAAACACAAACAACAGGTCATAGAGAGGAAAGAACAAAAAGAGAAGAAAGACATGATAAAGAAAGAACGAGTATATCATGACTGCATTCATCAAATCTAATAGACAAACCTAAACAAGAAGAAGAAGAAACAGAAACAATAATATAAAGACCACTGAAGAATAACCTTGCTCTCTTGTTTTTCATGAAGTTTGGTCCTTGCTTCAGAAACTCTGTAGTCTCTCCAAACACTGGCCACCCCATTGTCCCTGGAGGCAACCCTTTCTTCCGGTATCTCACTTCATTCCACCTTAGCAGGGCAGTGCAGATGCAAAGCCCTAAAACCACCACCCCAAAAACCAGAACCAAAACAGCCATTGATGCTCCCAAGAAGTTCCAACTTCCAACTCGTTTCAGGGAAGCTGTAAATGAAATAGGTATGCTCACGTTCAAGCCAGTTAAGGGTATATATAGGCCTGTGGACTGCCTTCTGAGAAACCACAACCCACCCACATAAGCCAAATACCATGCACGCCCACCCAAACCCAAGGATCCTATATTATAGAGCTAAGTAATAAAAGCAAGATTTAGTCATAAATGCTTTATTTTACCGAACTCCAAGCGGCCTCTATAGGCTCTGGCTGAGGTGAGGWGGGGAGTTATTTTGGGCACTTCCTAACTTTTAAGATTGGGCACATCCTTGATTGCAAACAAAAGACAAAATGCACTTTTTTTTTTTGTTAAAAAGGCGAATCCCTCCTCCCACCCTCAAATTTTAAGCACTATTATATTTCTATAAAAAATGGTTTCTTTGTCTTTATACCAACCGTTTATAAAAAAAAATGGGATGTGCCCAAATCAGTCACCTTCAAAACAATTTAAAAAAAAAGGAAAATTGAAATACGCTGATCCAAACTGCTACTCAGTGATAAATCAAATTTTTTGGGGGGAGAGAGGTTGCAGGGCAAAGAGACAGAGAGGTTGCATGAATGGATATTGACAGTCATTAATTGAAAATAGTATGAGCTATTTACAGTTAAGGCTTCTTAATGATTTTGGATAGTTTATGAATTGAAATAACAATCTTCCCCCACCCANCTCCTTTCCTTCCCGCCCCACTTATGTATCAGAGGTGTGAATTGGCACATGGTCACCACACAATTGGAGTTAGAATAAAAAGTACTCCAAGGCCCAGTCCTTCACGTGTCTGTCAACAAGATCTGCTAATTCCATTAGACAAATCAGTAGTAGACAAGCTCTTAGGATGCCATGTGAATTTTTTGCTTGGGGTGAGTGAGAAAGGGAGAGATAGAGGGTTGAGTTCCTCTTTTAACTGGAGGTTTGAACTTTTGTCCATAGAAATTGGTTTCTGAAACTGTGGGGTTGAATTTGTCTGTAATATGGGCAAATGGCTCACAGAAATGAATTTTCAGAGCTATCCATGTTCTTCAACAATGAACCCAATTCTTAATGAAGATCATTGGCTAATGGGCAGATTAATAGTAGGAAGAAAGATGGAAGCTCGTAGAGTGAGAGGATCCTTTCTCCACATGCCTCGGGAAAGGATGAGACTGTAACAGTAAAAGTGTAAAACAGTACCTCCTGACTAACTAATAAAATGTCTTAAGCAAATTGTATGATTTGATATTTTGACATGCCTAAACATTGGATGAACGATGGATGGTTTTGATTGTCCAGTATCAAAAGTGTCGATGTTTGTCACAAATTAAACTCCACAAAAGTGTAATGATTTAGTCTAATCAAGAGCATCTTATCATTTTTATCTTGTCAAGATTGACCATTGAAAGAGTTAGGGATAAGTAGACTGTACTCCACYTCAGAAACCTGAAAATACAGCCACCTCCTAGTGAGTTTATCACACACAATTACAAGCTTTAGTGCCATTTAAATTGCTAAGTTTCTTCTAAAAAATACTATAGATAAAATAAGAAGAAAAGTACCAAGGAAGAAATAAATCCAATCAGAATGTTACATAGAAACAGAAACTCTCTTTCAAAAATACATTCTCCCAAAATCAACATTCTAACCAAGAGAGAAATATTTCTAACAATTTCCTATTTCATAAATAATATCCCTATACCAAAAAAAAATCCAAATACGACCCAAAACATAAGATACAAACAGCACAATACCCAAATTACTTCAATCAGATGACTTTTAACTGTCTCCTGTAGACATTATTTCTAAAATTACTTTTCCACTTTAGATGAACTTCATTTTTACCATTAATGGTTTAAATAATGGAAGGGTACCCATTTGCTGATGGGCTTGAATACTTGAAATATGGGACATGATAATAAGTTATATAGTGGCCTAAGTCCTTAGAAAAAATGGTTTAATGTTTTTTTTTTTGCCATGGAAGAGAAGAGTGCCAACCCTAAACACGAAAGAAAAAAGAGGGAGAAATAAAAATAGAGTGCCACTGTAACCATTAACTATGCCATTATGACAATAAAAAAAACTGGTCCCTTGTATTAATGGTTAAATTTATTGCTTGCTGCTGTTGCTAATAGTAGTTAAGTATACCTTTAGATAAAATAATAAATACTTTTAACCCATAATAAATCAAAGTTGAACAAAGTAGCAAAAATTACAACTATTGTACGAACTTCTCATAACCCTCTGAATCAAAGCCCAAGACTCATTAGACAGAAAGCATGTCCTGTATGCAACAATGTCATGAACTCAGTACTCGGTAGACCTACCCAGGATGTACTGTTCAAAGAGCAGAAACAGATAACTAGACTGTCCAACAGTACTGAATGTGAATGTGAGAAAGAAAATAGAAAATAAAATAATTAAAATGGATTAAAGGTCTCTGGTAGAAGGTTTTTTTTTTTTTTTGGGTTTATGGGCCTCATGTAATCCTGCAATCCACGAGATCTTGGACTCATTATTTGACTTTGGCTGGAGATTCGAAGCCCATATTTTGTCCTCAAGTGGGGTAAAAAGTGGACTAGATAGCGACTAGAAGAAGGCCATGGATTCGAGAAGATCTAGATGGAGATTTGACACAGAAAAATTTTAGTCCTATTCTTTAGCTTCAGGGGGAGCTCTACATGTAATACCATTTTATTATCATTTCATACATCAAAATCATGGATTAAGAAGCATTCATTATTCAGAATCACAACCAGACAAGTTGGTGTTGATGAGCCCCTCTACACACGAGTATCTCTGGTGTTGTCACAAATTTGCTTGTTTCGAAATGCTGACAAAAGGCATTAGAAGGGTGTGTTTTTTCTATGTTAATCTTCTAAAAATTTCCTTGGGAATCATTAGGAAAGGAGAAAGTATTGCCGACATTGATGGCTTGATTGGATCTTGATTACATCCAAGCGAGAATAGAAATAAATATAGAGAAGCAAGATAAGAGAGAGAAATGAAAAAAAGGAAGAAAAAAAGAGGTGGGGTTCAGGAATGAGATTTCTCTTGTGTTTCTTTGCTGCCAAAGAGGATGGAAAGAACAGAATTTGAGGAGATGTTCCCAATACACGGTCGAGATGTGCTGTAGAACATTGTGGGTGGGGGCTGATGTGAACTCGGAAGACTAAGACTGAGAAAGGGATGTTTGTAAGCAAGGACAAGAGGTGCACGGAAGTGTAGGAAAAATAAAAGGGTACTTAAATATGTATATAAGGAAAGCTCGAAAAGGGCACAATAAATGCCTAAATGGGATTGGATATGTAGAAAGGGAAGGGCAGCAATGTCTACCTACTGATACATTTGGATTGGTGATGTACATGGAAAGACCTGGTATGCACGAGGGCCTCTATTTTGTTCTCTTGTGCTTTTTTATCTTTTGCCAGATGGCCAGATGGGTTTTTCGGTACCTCTCCTTTTCACTGCATTGTTTCCTCTTAATTATTGATTGTTGATGCACGCATATGGTGATGTATATGGGTAGAGAAAAGAAAACAAAAAAAAATTCTTCTGTGACCTTGGTTGCATCCTTTTGCATGTGACATCTTATGTAATGTGAACACATCAGCTTTTGGAATAAATTGAAGGGGAGTTTTCAGATTCTCCCACGGAAAAATCTGATTACAAAAGGGGGTGATATTGTATCATATGGAGGGTTTTTGAGAACGTATAAAAATTTATGAGGTAGGGCAAACATCATGGTGGTAGCAGATTTGAGTTCAGATCTGCGCTTCACAAAGGAGCACCCCATAACGTCCCACAGTATATTTCTGCCGTGTATTGGAAACATTTTCTAATGATGATATCATCATTCTTGGTACATCATCGAAATATGTTTTGTGGGGCGTCCCCTATGGGGTGCAGATGTGAACTCAACAGATTCTCTTATTCCTCTTGGAATTTCGAGTTGATCCATTCACACCAACCTCACATTACAACCCATGAATGATAACTTAGAACAAAGAAGATGTTCCTGATGTATGACTCCCAAGTGCTGTACGTGGTTGGTGTGAGGCGTGCTCTGTGGAGAGTTGTGTTGTTGTCCGGTTTCAATCACATGGAGATGATGATGTAGATAACTTTTGTTGCCATGTATTCACTTCCCCACTCCACAAAATTAATTCCACCTATTGCTCCTTTTGTTGCATAAGAATGCTAATGGCATAGGTGATAGGACTCACCATCTACCGGTGGAGAATATGGCCACGTCACCCATGTCATCATGTGCGGTTCTAGATTCTCTCAGACACTGACATTTAGCAAAACAGCCAAAAATTTTCCCACTCTTTTTTCTTTTATTTTCTTGTTCTAAGTGATGCTAAATGTTAAAAATGAATTAAAATAATTAGAGATTTTTTTAAACGCCAAAATACCAAACTTGTTAAGTAATTAGTAGAGGATTAGAGCGGGGAACAAGTAGAGCCCTTTGAGATCCACCCACCCACCTAAGCAGCTAAGCTGCCCTGAAAAAAATTAATGGGTTGCTTTGATGTAATCTATCTATCTATCCATTCCATTCTCCTCTCCTTTTGCATGAAATGATGAAGAGATGATAAGGTAAATCCAGACCATTCATTGGGCCTGTTTGGGAGGGTGAAGTGCAGTGGGCTTCTGGCTTATTAAAGTGGGCCCCATGTCAACAGTTTTAAGCTATGTTAGGGCCCGTGGCTGTACATTAATTATTCCAAGTCCAAGGGCGGTCAGCTTCAGCCTCAGCCTCTTTAAATAGTTTGTCCAAGCGCATTAAAGCAGCTAAACCAGTTTAACTGAATCTTTAGCTCAATCCTTCCAAACGAACCCTTACCATTTATCAGAGATTTTCCAAAGTGATAATAATTGAAAACTTAGTTTTGGAAACGGTAAGAAAGGGTCAGAGTTTGGCCACGTGGCTAAGTCCTCCTCTAAGCTCAGCTAAAACATGCCCCGTGAATAGAGGGTTAGGAGGGGAACACGTTGAGCCAATTTGGGCCCCCCAACTGTGCTGCCATGTGTAAGATTCGTGGGTTGTACTATAACCCACTTGAAAGCAGACTGTCTCCATCCCTTTCACATACGAGAGGGATATTGTTTA